AAAATATGGACAAATAATTTCTTGGGAAATCTGGAAGGCAAATATGCACAGGTCCCCATGTACATGTGCCTTACATACAAGTGTATGTTTACAGTGCATCTGTATATAAGATTATGTTTACACTTCTATGTTTAGGTAATTCTTTGGCTAATAAAAGAAGGCAAGAGAGAATGAATGACACCAGTAAAGTGGAAAAAAAAAATATCAGGAGGCAAGTAATAAGGTTACTTTTAACTTTATTGTATTGCCAATTAAAGATCAAAAGAAAAACAGCCCCACTTTTTGTTTTTTTCTTTAAAGTAGATGATAAATAAATCCAAGGTAAAGAATTGCATCTCTTTATATAGTAATTGCTGCTTGCAAACAAAAGAGACATACTACCAATTTCAAGCTATTCTGGCAGAGCCAGCAGACAGGACATCTTGGAAACAAGCATTTGCATCTTCCGTGGCACTTCGTGGCCATTGCCATTAGTGCTACTTCTGCTTTGGGCATTGCTGCTGCTGCTGCTGCTGCTGCTGCTGCTGCGGGATGGTCTTCACAGGACATTTGGCTTGCCCTTTTGGGGGCTGGCATTGCTCCACACACTTTGGAGGACATTTTTCCTGGCATTTTGAGGGTATTTGCTGCTGCTGTTTCTGCTGGTGGGAAGACATCTTTGCTAAGCCTGGGAGAAAACCAAGGTGCCATTTCAGTTATTTTAAACACTACACATTTCTTCTTTCTGGATATTATAGTTTCAGTCAGTTCTTCAGCTTTGGCATCAAACCAACAATGAAGAGCCTTTAAAAGTTAATCCTACTAGAAAACCACAAAACAAGCCACCCTTGGAAGTCCCTGAGGATGCTGCTGTTCAGACTGATTTGTGTGGGTGACTTGTTTGCTGTAGCTGCCCCATATTGCTTTTCTGGGCTCCTGTCACAGCCTCTGTGGAGATCAGCCACTCTGTTGAGGCCTCAGGGCACAGCTGTATATGAGCATAAAAGTATTTCAGAGGCAAACACCATCCTAACAGAGTTGTGATCCAAACAGGTAAATGGTTACAGGGGTGGATTGAAGAAAAACAGTGAAAGGGGTTTTCCTTCTTTTCCTCTGTTCATTTTCTGAGCATCTCAGCTTTGACAAGCTAAGAAGGAAATACAGGTTTCAATGAAAGGATGCTTTGTTCAAAAAGAACCCCAGAGCAATATTTAAAATTGGGCAAAGAGGAGCAGAAAGCTAGTGACATTGCAGTACTGCAAGTGGCATTGAAAGAAAAAAATAATTTTATAGCAATCCCTTACAGCAACACCACATCTGTGCTTAGTTCATAGAGAGCCTCAGAGCAGGAGACATGTTTCTGGCCGTTAAATGCAGGTGAACTGTCTTCTTGCTCAGTGATAAGACTTTATACCAAGTAGTGAAGCTCAGAGCCCTGGAGACTGCATATGCAAAACAAGCTGGTAATGGATGCCATCCTTTGGTAGCTGATACTCAGTACCCAATGGTTATCCACAAGGAATCTTATCTGTTGGGGAAGAGTTTGTGAGGGTTCATAAGGGTTTGCTGGTCCAAAAAGTCAGCAAGCCACTGCCTGGAGCCTCAAAAGTCTCAAAATGGCATAATATGGCTTTCATCTGTACAGAGGCAAAATTGCCAGGGAGATGAGCTAAAGCTGTTACTACAGAAACAAAACAGATCACCCTATTTCTCAAAAATAGAGCTAGAGAAATCCCCACCTACATAGCAAAATGTGCATAGAAGGACTCACCTGGTGTCACCTGCTGCTGAAGATCGGAAAGAAGCAGCCACTCAAATACAACGAGCCTCTGCAATGGGAGGCTTTTATATGCGTTCAGAAGTCAGCCCTGGGAGCTGATGACAACAGATTAACTTGATGACCAGAATCTTTCACAACCAGAACCTGCTCCACTGACACCTCCATACACCTGGACTTCAGTCAAGGTCTGTGAGAGATACCTCCTCTTTCAGGTGCGGGGGATTTGTTGTTTTGAATGCAAGGCACACCCAATCTGGTAATAACTGGCTAATTTATTAATAATTCATCTTTTCCTGGCACTGGGCAAAGATCTCACAACTGAACTCAGATTTGAGAGGTGGCGCAGATCCGCTCCAGAGTAAGCAGAGCATGTTTGCATAAAGGTTAGGTGTTTCCTGATAGTTTTGTCTGTGATCACTTGGACAGATCTTCAGCTGGCACTAACCTGAGTGGGGTGGGGGAGGTTTGTGTGTGACATCCCAGCTCCTGGGAAGGGCAGCATATCTGTCTTTGGCAGCCTGTGGGTTTGCATTTTGCTTCTGTTCACCTCTATTTTCCTTCCTCTAAAGGGGAATTAAGCATCTTATATTGATAAGAAATTAGAAAGCTTTCCCCTTATTTTTTCTTGAACTTTCATGTAGTTTTTCACTGAAGCAACTAGAACTTCTTTTTTACAAACACCAGGTTTGGCTTGCTGAAGCTATGGCAGAATTTCTTTTTTCTGGGGATGGGTCAGTGTTTCATAAAAATGTCAATCCCCTTGAGATTTTTCTAAGGAAGGGACAGAGAAAATGTTTCAATTGAAACATCACCTTTAGCTCTAATGGAATACTTCAAGCCTCCCTTGAGTATTCCTCAATGCTATGCCCTGTGGGGTTATATTCTGCCCTATGAATTACAGTCCAGTCTCCATTACAGATGTGTGATCCACTGGGAGATGAGGGACATAGCTTCCACTGGGTGTAGGAGAGCAAAAGGTGTTAATGGAAAAAACATCATGCCATATCTTATTCCTCACACATGCTTGATTTACCCAGGGTCTTAATGACCCCAAGGTTGGCATGGATGTAAGGTCACTGACTTGTGTTAAGTACACTGGAGAATCTCAGCAATGCACAGAACTAACCACAGGTGCATAGGAGAGCAGTGTGTCAGGGGTTTTGCAACACATTTTCCTACCAGCACAGGAAGCGTGGCGAGCACAAACCAACAGGTCTCTTCCACCACTTCCTCTGGGACTTTTGGAGCTGCATGCTCCTGTCCATGAGTACTGCGCCTGGTGCAATGCTTGCAGCAGAGAAGGAGAGAAGAAAAAAATTTAAATTACTATTACAGCTGATTGAACTGGATGAAGGTGCTTGGAAATCAGTCATAGGTGATTAATCAATGGGATGGATCTCATTGGTATCTGCATATGACTTCCTGACTAAGATTTTTTCCATGCCTGCAAGTGGACACTGGTGGTACAAATGTGGCAGCAGCAAGAAGTTATTAGCGAGGCAGAATTCGTTGCCGAATCCCAAAGGTTTGCGTGCAACAGTAGGAATTGCACATTCCTAGTCTTCCCCTCCATTTTTGTGCTGTTGAATACTTGATCCACCTATCCCTGCTTTGTCCGTCTGAACTGAAAGGTGTGTTCTGTTTGTGTGTTCAGAAACTTGTTTGCCTTATTGTGGCATCTTTTGCCTATCATTATTCCTGTTTGATGGTGTCACCTTTTGGTGTTGACAGAAATAACACAAAAGGGAATCTACTGTCAAACTCCCTGCACCTGCACACAAGGTTTCATTAAAAGCTGATTTGGTAACAGTGTTTACACACACCTAAATATAACTCTTTTCTTTTCTAGTTTAGATGGTCTCCACCCTTGTCATAATGATATGGTAGATGGATAGCAATTCTCTGCATCCCAGACACGGGAACTGTGGCCATGACGGAGACAGAGGTAAACCAGTCACATGCATGGCATGGAGGACAATGGGAGCCTTATCTCTGAAACTCAGCATTTAGGTGGCTATAATGTCCCTCCAGACAATGGGCCTCCTTCAGTTTCAAAATTATGACTCCAACTAATTAAGATGCCTTTATAAGTGATTTAAAATATTTTTGTACCTGCCAGATGTTAATGAACCCAAAATGCCAACCCTCTATCAGTCAGGGATGTGACGACTTCTTGTTGCACATGGGGCATGGATAGATAACAAGAGACCTGCCCGAAGCCATACTATCTGCAGCAAACCTGGGAACAAAACTGCAGTCTTGCAGGGCTCGGACCTGTTCCTCAACCACAAAAAGATTTATCTCCTGAAGCCAAATCCCCTACTTTCTATATTTAGTCAGTGAGGTTCATAAGAAGAATTCATCAAAAATACGATTGTTGTCTCCATCAAAATGCTTTTAAAAATAATTACAAACCTGGCAAGAACATTTCAATTCCTTCTTTCTTGGATTTAGGGCTTTCTTCCACTTAAATTTACCTTTTAATGGTTTCTAAGATTTGCTTTCAAAATCCAGAGATATAAAGATCAAAATTCTATGATTAATAAAGATGACAATTAAATTTCTATCATTATTTTCAAGTAGGGCAAAGCTATTTTTTTTTATATCTGTCAGAAAATATTGACCGGATGATGTTTTGCTTATGCTATTAGAAGACGTTGTTCCACATTATAACGCATGCTTCCTCTATTTACAGTACTGCATTGCAGGTATCAATCCTCCACAACCATAACAGCTTTTAGAAGGAAAACTAAAGGAACGTGTTCTTGGGCTGAAGACATGGAAACGGGAAGATGAAAGATGGAAGACACATTATGCCATTAATGGTCGATTTTTTATTGTTGCTCACAGACGTTAAAAGACAAGAGGATATACATTAAAAGACAAGATGAGAATTAAAGAAGGGGAGATATCTTCCAACATCAACTGCTTACAGCACAACCATTGCTAAATAACTTCCCAAGATGCCCAGCACGATAGCACTGGCCAGCTGCAGTTACCAAGTAGAAGGTGCTGAGACAGCAGTGGCAGAAGTATCATAGGAAGCAAATACAGAGTCTGGAAACATTCAGAAAAATATTTTCCAAGACAGAGAGCATGGGGCAACCGGGTTGGGAGAGGTCTTGGTACGTCGCAGGTGGGTCTGTAACCTGGTTTTCATTCCGGGAATGCTCATGAGCCAATGGATACTGCAATGCGCCGAAGCATCAGGGCTGCATGTAAGGCTCACGTGTCAAGGCGATCAGCATCGACGAGAGCAGACTGTGGTGCATGGCTCCAGGCACACAGTCTCACACGAATCAACGCACTTGGTGGCGCACACCTCCACGCATGGGGCTTGGCAAGGCTCCACACACTGGGCGATGCAGGGCTCCACGCACTGGGTGGGACACTGAGTTGGGCACTGAGTGGCACATGGCTTTACGCAGACATCGATGCACTTGGGGGGGCAGACCTCCACACACTGCGTGCTGCAGGGCTCCACGCACTGGGTACTGCAAGGCTCCACGCACTGGGTGGTGCAGGTCGTGGTGCACTGGGTGGCACAAGGCTCCACGCACTGGGTGGTGCAGGTCGTGGTGCACTGGGTGGCACAGGGCGTTGGGCAGACCTCCACACATGGTGTGGAGCATGGCTTCACGCAGACATTGCCACAGGGCTCCACGCACACTGTCTTGCAGGGCTCCACGCACTTGGTGCATTTCTGCACACAAATGGGAGGGGGCAGGCAGGGCTGTTTGCACTGCTCGTAGTAAGACATCTTCTGAAGTGCTGTTAAAGCTAAAGACAAAGATAAAAAGAGAGATACAAAATCAGAACACTCATCCTTCCTTCTTGAGCCAAAATTCACAACCTGAGCTCTTGAAACATAAATAACAGTTAGCTGTTGGCCTGAGAAAAGGACTGTTAGAAAAAATGGCATGCGTGAATGATTTCTGGATCCAGACGTATGCAGCTAACACTACCAGATTATTCCTTCCTCCCTTGGGAACCTGCAGGCATCATTATTAGGAAAACTGGAGCCATAAACCCTAAATTTTATAGAATTGCCCACAGTTAAACTTTGTAGAAGCTGCAACATTAAAATAGTTCATTTCCTTATTTTCTTACTTAAGCCAGTAGTCATTCCAAGGCCCATCTTTTGCTTATCACTTCTTCAGCTGCTCACACACACCACAGAGCACATCCCCCTTTGTGTAGTCATTTTGCTGCTAATGCCTGAGGATAAAGCCCAAAGACCACAAATTCAGACACTATCCCAAATTCTCCAGCTGTATATCCCGGTACATCACTGGAATTACATCAAAATTAACATGTCCATCCTTTCTTAAAAGAAGGGCTGGCCCAGAGGTTGCAGCACCTGTTTCCAGTACATTTCCTCATCTTGACTTCTCCCAGATGCCTCCTGCAGCTTTGCCCTAAGGTATCTTGCAGCTTCCTTCTTCCACCCACCTCTTTTGAAGTCCCAAACTTACTCTGCAGCATCCACTAATTTATTTAATTTCTAGACTTAATGAGGTATGAAAAAATTAATGAAGATGGAGTATGAAGACGAATGAGATACAGGCACAGTTTCTGCAAATGTGACAGGACATCTGTAAGCCACTTAAGGAAGAGCAAACTCTAAATAAAGAGTCCAACATCCTCTCCCCCATTCCAGGATGAACCCTGGAATAGAAACGCCAGAAGCAAAGCTCTTCTGTGATCAGTAACATATTCTTTTGACGAGAGCAACCAAGTAACACAGCCAGCGCATTATTCCCTGATAAATCCAAGAAAGACTTACCAGTTCACCAATGCAAGTGAGTGAGGGAGAAGTCAAATGAACTGGTGTGAGCATCAAAATGCAAACCTTTTTATATGGCTTGCATGGCGTCACCTCCGGAAACAAGGGAGCCCAGGGGGATGGACACCTGACCACTAACAACCCAAACAGGCTCCACCTATACATGCTTTACATATTTGTTTACATCCTAATTTTTGATGGAAATCCTCTTCCAGGAAAACCATGTGATCCTGAGCAAATTTTGTTTCCACCTAACACCCGAGTCAAGTGGTTCCCAATGGGAATGACACAGTAATTAAAAAAAACCCCAGGTACTGAATTAATTGCTTTTCAAAGAAGATTTAATAAGCTTGGATATTTTCATCTCCTTATTTCCATAAATGTCTGAATGATACCTTAGGTTTCTTTCAGTGCGGTAAGAATGGATAGCTATTATTAGGGAAGATGGACAATTTATTTGATTTACTATGAGAAATATCATGTCCTAATTCTCATGGTAAGAAACAGCTAATTCTATATTGGGTCATCAGAGCTTCCACAAACTGTTGAGGTGTCTGTTACTCTAATACCTTTTTAACCATTAAATACACCCAACCCACTCCCCTCGACCCTCTGTTGACATCATTCATGCTCGACAATACCAACGGGAACACAACTCCAGTTACCTTGAGAACCTCTTCAAGCTATTTAGGGCAAAGTAAAGGGGCACATATCTTGAAGGCATTTTTCACTGCCATAGCAGTGTAAAGGGCTTCAGTTTCAGTGGGATTTAGGCCCAAAACTCCATACTGTCATAATGAAATCTTTGCTGATCATGATATCTCACTCAGCTCTGCAGCACAGAAAATCTTTATTTTTCTGAGATATTACAATCATGGAGGTGGAATGTGATCATCAGACTACATTTACATGACCAAATTCCCTGATGAGATCACTTACATGATGCTAAATTGAGGGGGAGAGGGAGGGGGAATGGGGGAAAAGACACCCAACCCATTCAGTGTGAGCTGTGCTTCCTGTTTACACTGGAAACCAGGAGTCCCACTGGAGAAATGTAGGCATCAGCACTGGTTCCTTCCTAGTGTTTACATGGGGAAACTGGAATTCCTGTCCTAAACCCATGTGAGCTGAGAGATTTGCATTGCTCTTGACATCCTCCCAGCAGCACGTCATGGCTCGTTCAGCCTTTTCACTCTTCCTTTGCAGGACACTGGGTGCTTTTGCAGATGATAGGAAGAACTAGGGACTTGGCACAGTGCGGTTTGCTTGTCTTAGACATCTGCTTCGGGGTGAGGAGAAACACCCATGGCTGCATCAAATAGATCCTGCAGATTGTAAAATGAATGGAGAGCAACTAGCTGAGATTTGGAGAGAGTGGGGAGGCACTGGGACAGGTTCCCAGAGAAGCTGTGGATGCCCCATCCCTGGGAGTGTCCAAGGCCAGGCTGGATGAGGCTTGGAGCAACCTGGTCTAGCGGAAGGTGTCCCTGCCCATGGCAGGGAGTTGGAACTCGATGATCTTGAAGGTGCCTTCCAACCCAAACTATTCTATGATTTTGTGATTAGGTGTCTAAGATTTTGACAGATTAGTCTCTCCCCATCACCTCCTAGAGCTAAAGCTGCTGGGTGATGCTGAGCAAGCAATTATCCTCCTTTTAGGTCCCCTCACAGCAGCAGCCTTCAACATTTATCTTGCTGAGGAGCTTCTCATACTCCAGTTTGTACAGTTTGTGCTTTCCTAGGGCTCCAGGCTCACCTCCAAACCCTGTGCTGAGGACCAGTCCTACATCTCTCTCTCGTGGGTTATTGTATAGCCTATTGTTATATTTGATTAGCAAGGAATTGTAACAACTTCTAAGAGAAACAGATATTCTAGGAGACATAAATTGATCTGCATTTGTAATATGCAGAAACATCACAAGGCTGGATTATTATTCTTAATTGCCACTTATTTGTGGATCTCTATTACATTTATGAGCAATTTGGTCATTTGACTTGTCACATTAACTTCAGTGAGTCAGGACCCCACAGCAACATCTTTTTGTGGCCATACTCCTTTGGCAAAAGAGCTGAAAAGAAGTGATTTTCCAAATCTGACACTTCTGGGATCTATTTAATTAAATGGCAGATGTTAAGGTCTCTTGCAGAACCAGAGGCTGGTGTGATGGGTTAGCCCTTTGATGAAAAGAGCGCGACAGAGCACAAACTCAAACCAGAATAGGTTCCTGGAGCCCAGGATGAGACATGTTTATCTGGTACTGCAGAAGAGGGTCCTCCTGAGCACTTTATTCTGGTGGTCAAGAGAATATTTCTGAAATAATCAGTAAAAAAGAACATGGTCAGCATTTTTGGCTCCAAATAATCCAGGGGAGACTTCATATTTCATCACCAAGATCTACCAAAGATGGAGGCACATCAACATTGGAGCCTTTTTCCTACAGCTGTAAAATTTTTCCTTGCAGGCATGAAACACCACATGGTCACAGAGACATGATTGTTCATGCAAACACAAAACTTGAGAATGTGCAGATGTCATGATTTTTTAATGGAAACATCTCAGACTGAATTTTTTCCTTGTGCAACTGTTTGCATATTCACCATTTAGGGCTGTTCAGCTGGATTTCTGCTAGGAAAAAAAAAAAGAAAAACACAACCTATTTCATAAATTGCTGAACACTTTGCTTTAAAATTATGATGTGTCAGGATTTCTTTGTATCCCTTGGTTTATCCAGAAGTTTCTTAAGTAAGATTTCTTCCTCTGTGGCATCCAGCACTGGTCAGCATCAGGGATTTCGTTTTGCTTATGTGCAGCTTCCCATATAGTACACTGCCCACATTTTAGCAAGCAAAGCATTTTCATAGAAATCAAGGATTCTTCCTGTATTTTCAGCATGAAAAGGCCTTCCCAGACCACTCCCCTGCACTTTGCTGCAATTAAATCTTAAAGTCTGGGGATTCATTACACCCAACTTTCCCCTCTCATCATTGCCTGGCACAACTACCTGGGGAAGGTGTGTGGGTGTTACCCAGCACTGAGGGCAGCTTCCAGGTGGGGCTGGTTTCCAGGCTGCTGGCCTATCGCTCCAGTTTTGGAAATCGTGCATAGCTGAGATGCCAGGAGGCTAAGTACTGAATGCAATTAACCTCACATGAAAACAAGTGGCTTGTCTACTCCATGCCCTAGGGACTATTTGATCAACTAATTAGATCATTACTTCTGGGGCTGAGAGGAACCCAAATACAGCACTATCCACCTCTTTTCCTGTTTACTCAGGAAGGTGAGTACTCTGTGAAGAATGATAAGTGAACATCTCAGTGCAATTAAATCTGAAAAAGAGGAACTGGCTGTGGTTATGAAAAAAATCATCAGTTTTATCTTTTACCCTCTGACTATTGCAGATATTTGCTTTGATTTTGCCAATATTTTATAATGGGAATCCAGCTTTCCTCAGGATTTTTTACCTTACTGAATAAAACTGTGTCCTGATCTGAGGAGTGCATTTTAGATATCAGAGCATGTTGCCTGACAGAGCAAGAACTGTGGGCTTACTAAACTTGCTTATGCTGAACAGCAATTTTTTCCCACACTGTTATAAGTTTCATAGATGTAGTATCAACATTCAGGTGTCAGGGAGGAAGGATCTCTGTTTCTCTTCCTATGGCACAATCTTGTGATGTTCACCTGCAAATGAAGCATCTGCTCTCTGCTAATGGTCTCAGCCTTTTAAAATCTGAGTTTCTATGTTCATATGAAGGATTAAATATAAAGCATCATGCCATCAGAAGGTTGTTGCAGAGAAATAGTGTAAGAAAAAGTGTTTCTCAAAGCTATTTTTTTCCACCTAAAGTTTCTTATTTCACAGAAGGTTGTTCCATTTGATTTGGGCATGGGAGCAAAGGAAATTCTTGCTTGCACAGACCCTTTTAACAAGTTTTAAAGGAGTTTTGGAGTCAAAACAGACCTCCACAGAGAG